GGACAGGGAGAACCAGGCTTCCCGCCGAGCAGGGAGCCTGATGTGGGGCTCGATCCCAGGACCCTGGGATCATGACCTGAGCTGAAGGCAGACGCTTAACGGCTGAGCCACCCAGGCGCCCCAAAGAAGACAACATCTTAATGTCACCGGGAAAATACTTTTGACCTCCTACCAGTGCTCCCTTCTGTCACTCCTTCCCAGTCATGGAGGCCTCCTCGCTGTTTCTCAGGTGGGCCCCTTACACTCCCTTCTCAGGGTCTTTAACTGGTCCCGCAGCTGTTCTTCCCCAGGCCTCATGTTGTGTTCCTCTTTGCCTTCTGAACTTGGCTCAGATGTCATCCATCCAAGAAGCCCATCCAGACCACTTTTCACACAGCAGCCAAAGACAAGTTCTTTAGATAAAAAGAATTTGAATGAATTGGATAGATCGTTTTCATTTTGTAGCTGAACTAATGTGACATCGCTCCTTGCTGAGTTAGGAATAAGGACTAAACCGCGTGGAGTTGTCCCACAAAGGAAACTTTTTGCAGCAGATAAAGAGATCACGGGGAATAACTTCCAAAGCCATGATTCTCCCAAGTGAGGGTGAGTGGGTTTCTTTTATTTAGGGTTAGGATGAATATTCAGAAAGGGGGGGCTTTGTCATCACATGTAACGGCAGACAGGAGGTTGTGTAGGCATATGTAAAAAAACATGCCTATACACGTATCTGTTACGTTAATGAAGGTTGTGCTGCTCTGAGGGTGGAGACTAACTTGACAGTGAAGCCGAGGTAACGGTCTCTCGACGGGCGAAAGGGCTCATGGGAGTGCTCGAAGAGCTAGTATGAACTGGATGGGGCGGGGTCTTGGGCTCCTGATGCAAGACCTTAGGCTATTTCCTGGCCTGGTAGAGTGTTAGTTTCTGCTTTCTCTTTGTTCCTTTAAAATCTTTAGCTACTGAGGTTTTTGTGTTTCTTTGTGATGCCGACACCTCCTAGGAGGTTGTGCTAGAAGTGTGCTTGAGCAAGTAGGGCAGAGATCCCAGAAAATAACTTGGGGCCCAAAAAGACTTCTCTGGTGTCATGCTATGTCTTGTCTTTCTTTTGGGGGGGACCCCTAACTCTTTCTGCTTACAATTTCTCCTCAGTAAAAGTGGAATTGCTGGGTCATAAGGTTGGCATATCGTTAACTTTATGAGAAACTTTCAGACTGGTTTCCACAGTAACTGCACCGTTTTATTACACTTTCACTAAGGAAGTAGAATTCTGATTTTTCCCACGTCCTTCCAACATTTTGTGTTACCTTTTTAATTTTATCTATTCTGTCATTCTAGTGGTATCTCATTATGATTTTTAATTTGCATTTTCCTGGTGACTAATAATATTAAAGAACTCTTATGTGCTTATTGGCATTTCCATATCTCCCTTTGTGAAGTCCCTATTCAAATCTTTTGTGCATTTTTAAAAATGAGATGGTTCTTTTTTTTTCTAGCATCTTATATTATGTAATTATCCATCCCTCTATACATCTGTCAATTCATTTTATTTTTAGTGTATTTCAGAGTAAGTTGCAAACATGCATATCATTAACTAGAATTCAGTGTATAAGGTTTTGTTTTGTTTCTTGATAAAGCTTACATACTTCTATACAGGTAGGAGTTCTTTATATTCTGAACACAGGTCCTTTAACAGATACATGTATTGTGAATATGTTCTCCCAGTTTGTGGCCTGCCTATTTCTTTCTTTTGTTTTTTTGTTTTTTTAAGATTTTATTTATTTGTCAGAGGGGGAGAGAGAGAGAGAGTGCGAGCACAAGCAGCAGAAGCGGCAGGCAGAGGGAGAAGCAGGCTCCAGACTGAGCAAGGAGCCCGATGCGGGACTCCATTCCAGGACCCCAGGATCATGACCTGAACTGAAGGCAGACACTTCTTTTTTTTTTTTTTTTTTTTTAATATTTTATTTATTCGAGGGTGCCTGGGTGGCTTAGTCGGTTATTTGTCTGCCTTCAGCTCAGGTCATGATCCCAGGGTCCTGTAATCTAGCCCTGTGTGGAGCCCTGCTTCCTACTCCCTGCTCCCTGCTCAGCAGGGAGCCAGCTTTTCCCTCTTCTTCCCACTCAGGCTCTCTCTTGCTGTCTCTGTTGCTATCTCTGTTTCTCTGTCTCAAATAAATAAATAAATAAATAAATAAAATCTAAAAAAAATATTCATTGGTGAAGCTATGTGGATCTGGAGTTTTCTCTGTGGAAAGATTCTTAATAATGCATTCAGTTTTTTTGATATAGGACTATTCTAATTTTTTACTTCAGATATTGTTTTTTATGTTGTAAAATTTCTATTGGGTGAGTTTTCGTAGTTTCCATATTTTAATTCAGGTTCCCTATTTGTGTCTTCATTACATTCCTGTGTTTCTTTAAATCCTTGAGCATATTTATAATAACTGTTTTTAGGGGCTTCTGGGTGGCTCAGTCAGTTAAGCATCCAACTCTTGATTTCAACTCAGGTCATGATCTTAGGCTTGTGAAATCGAGCCCCATGCTGGGCATGGAGCCTACTTAAGTTTCTTTCTCCCTCTCTTTCTCTCTTTCTCCCTCTCCCCCTCTCCCCCTGCCCCACTCCCCACCCCCATCTAAAAAAAGTAACTGTTTTAAAGTCCTTTTCTATTAATGCCATCATCTTTTTTTATTGATTTGTTTTTCCTCGGTTTATGGGTCACATTTTCCTGCTACCCTACATGTCTAGCAACTTTTTATTGTGTGTCTCACATTATGTATTACATTGCTGAGTACCTGGATTTTGTTGTCTTCCTTAATGAAGTGTTGAATTTTCCCTTAGGCAGTTAATTTACATGCCAATCAGCCTGGTCCCTGTTTTTGTCGGAGTGGGTTTTACAGCCTTGACTTTTGCTAGATGTGCCCTACTCCTGAGGTGTGACCTTTCTGTTCAGTGTCACAGGATATTCAGCTTGGTTGGATAGACACAACTCTGACATTTCCCTCCTTTGTGCAAGGTCTTGTATTTGTTCAACATACAGTTTTAGGGTAAATTTTCTTTCTCAGGTATGGTAAGCTGGAAAATGGTACCCCAAATAATATCCAGGTCCTTGTCGCTGGAACCTATGTTAGTTTATACGGCAAAATCGACTTTGCTGGTGTAATTAAGTTAAAGATCTTTAGATGGGGAGATTATTCTGGATTGTCTGGGTGGACCCTAAATACAATCACATATATCTTTATAAAGGGGAGATAGAAGGGAAGGCAGTGTGACCATGGAGGCCGAGGTTGGGGTAATGTAATCACAAGCCAAGTACTCCTAGCTGTCAGCAGAAGCAAGGAATGAATTCTCTCCTATAGCCTCTGGAGGGAGCGCGGCTCTGCCAACACCTTGATTTTGGTCCAGTGAAACTGGCTGTAGACTTCCAGAATTGAGAGCATAAGTTTCTGTTGCTTTAACTCACCAATTTTGTGGTAATTTCTTCCAGCAGCCCTAGAAAACTAATGCACCAGGGAATTGTTCTCTGGAAATTGTTTTTTTTCCCCTGACACTGTTGAACTTGTTCTGTGCATGGATAGCCTAGAATTCAGCCAGACATTCCAGGGGACCATGTATGCAGGTCCCAGAATCTCCTTAAGTATCCCCCTCTCTCCGGTATCTTGATCCCTATACTTCAGCCCCCTCTGCAGCCCCGAACTTCAGTTCCTTTGTCTCTTCAGTTCAGTAAGACTGGGCTCGGTTTGGGCTCCCACTCCCTGCTCCAGTCTAAAAGTTGCCTCCAGTCGGAAGGTGGGCATTCATTACCTTCAGTCCCAAAGCTTACTTTGGTTTTTTTCTCTCAGGCACCACAGCCCTGTGCTTTGACTTGTTCTTTGACTTGGAAATAGGACTTATTTAGTCCTATTTTATCGTTGGCCTAGGTAGGAGGACTGGTTTAGTACCAGCTGCTTTCTTTCAGCCAGGCGTGAAAAAACCTACTTCACTTTTTTCCACTGTATAATATAAATCTCTTATTTGTCATTTGGCACCACTCTAGAATGTGACCTCCGTGAGAGCAGAGACTCTTATTCGAGGCTGTCCCTCCAGCTTCTAGAACACTGCCTGGCACACAGTTTGGTTTAATAAGTGTTGGCTGAGTGAGTGAGTGAGCGAGTGAGTGAGTGAATCTTGACACAAGATGTACTGTCTACTTTCTGCCAAAGAAGCCCTAAAGGCCACGTATTTACCTTCCTAGTGTGCTTTATGGTTGATAGTTTTACGGTTTCAGGCTGTAGTCAGATATGTTCACCTGGGACTGGGGTAATAAACTGGTGACTCAGAGGAGACTGCCTTCTAGAGACCGAAATGTCGCACCTGCATCCCCTTTTCAGGGCAACACTGGCCTCCCAGTGCCCTCAGCTGTGCAGAGCTTAGCCCCCTCAGGTGCAGCGTCATTTTTACTAGGTAGATTTTTTTCATGGTTTTGGTTGTGGGTCATCGACCTAGCTACCCTTATTTCTGCCTATTTTCCATTCCTGCTCATCCAGCTTTCCCAGTGATTCTGTGAGATACCTGGTATCCTTTCAGTAAATTCCTTCTCTGCTGAAGTCAGTCATTGTTTACAGTAAGAGCTCCAGCTAAAACACCGTTAAAGCTGCCTGGGACTCCAATTTCAGAGTGTTTAATAAGTACTTAGTAAGAAGTTGGTGGGGTTGGGCGATGTAAACGTCAAGGAAACTGCTTCAGATTAGAAAAATCTAGGTTTATTATAAATAGTCTAGGTCTCTGCATTGTGTAGGCATTTACGCAAATTAAATGTGGAATTTAGACGAGGTTGCAGCCTCCAGCTCTTGTCATCTAACGCTTTGCTGGCCAAGGTAATCAGTTTTTATTTCTACCCCTGCATTTAGAAGTCTTACCTTACTTTTACTCGATTCTACTAAGAACCATTAAGTAAGATCGATTTTCATTTGAAATCTTGACTTTTAGTTGCGGCGCTTTGTTGTAAGTAGACACGCTATTAATACTGGTTTATTTTCCCACTTAGGTGTTTCATAATAGAAGAGCAGAGTTTCTTGTTATGTGAAGATCTTCTCTATGGAAGAATGTCATTCAGAGGATTTAATCCTGAGGTTGAGGTATTAAATATAATTGCTTCAAATTTTAAAATTTTCCAATTGAATTCTTTCTGCTAATAATTGGGTTTCGGTTTTTTCCCACCAGGTACTGTTTCTTCTCATTATATATAAAATAACAAGTCTTGAAATACCGGTGGAGCTATTTAAAGAAATTGCAGCCCTTGCAGCCTGGTTTTATAGCAGAGTTAGCAGATGATTTAATACAGTAGCACACACCCCCCAACAGCGCCCTGCGAGTTTAGAGTTTCAGCTCAGCTCTTTCACAGGAACGTCCGGATTTTGTTCATATGATGCTATTATGAAAACTTATTTTCTGGCACCTATAAATGTATCTTTTCTAATGGAAAAATGTGACTTAAAAATTGAGTAATTCCGCTTTTCAATAGGCAGGTTTTAATCCAAGCTTGTAAATAGATTTTTAAATGAACCTTTGGGAAAGTTTGTTTGAAAAGTAAATATTCACCTTATGAGCTGTTGATTCGAATTTTCCTGGTTCAGGTTTGTAGAGAAGCACAGACCTTCGTTTACTATTTATTAGAATTCTGGCACATGTACTAAAAGTCATCCTATCAGGTACTCCACCAGTGAAATGGAGGTTTATGATACAAAGCTTAGTTTTATAACTGTCACTTGAAGCCTGGGTTTCTCAGCCCTGGCACCACTGACTTCTGGAGCCAGATAATTCTTTGTAGCTGGGGCTGTCCCATGTATTTTTAGATGTTCAGCAGCGTCCCTGGCCTCTACCCACTAGACACCGGTAGTGTGCGCATGAGCACACACGCATGTGCACACACACACACACACCCCAGTTGTGACAACCAAAAATGTATCCAGACATTGCCAGAGGTCCCTTGGTGAGCAAAACTACCCCTGACTGAAAATCACTTTCCTGAGGATGCCTGTAGAGAATCACAGTTAACCAAGTTAATCGCCAGAGTTTAAGATTACGGGTTTTCTTTTTTTTCCCCCCTTTTTTGAGGGTGTATGATAATTAAGGTGTTCTATTTACACAAAGTCAACACTAAAAGTGTTTGTTTATAATAGGTATTTTCCTTGCCTTAGCCTGCTTAAAGCTTTAGATTTCCAAGAGAGAAGGCAGTGGGGTAAAGGGGGAGTCAAGGGAGCAAAGATGATGCGTGTGTGCTACCCAGAGACTAGGGCTAGGGGTAGGCAAGCACTCTAGGGTATGTCTCATACATTGGGAAAAGGATCCTGTTGTGGGAGGCTTTTAGAAGATGGCTTTCATGACTGCTACTCTGTAACACTGAATACGTTCTCTCTGGGGAAAGGTTTTGAACTGTTTGGCTTGCATATCTGACCTGTCATGAGATATGAGAAGGGTTAGGTATATATACCTGGTTTTGAAAAGATACCAACTTGAGAGCAGATACCAACTTGAGAGCACTTACTTCATTATAAGCAGGATGTACTTAGAACACATTTTTACAGAAGTCTTTTTTTAAAGATTTATTTATTTGAGAGAGAGTGGGGAGGGGGCAGATGGAGAGGGAGAGAAAGAATCTTGACCAGGCTCCGCACTGAGCACAGAGCCCAACATGGGGCTCAATCCCTGAGATCATGACCTGAGCCAAAATCAAGAGTCGGATACTTAACTGACTGAGCTACCCAGGAGCCCCTAGAACATGTTTTTAGTATTCTATGTATCTTTAGTGACACCCAGCATGGAGTTTATTTATTCAATAAATATTCTGTACCTGAGGTTCATCAGCCCTCTTGAGGCACTGGAAATGCAGTAGGAAACTGAGTTCTGTGCCCTCACAGAACTTGTATTCCCAGAATTATTTTCTCTTCAGTCCTTTAAATGTTGGAAAAGCTAATCGAAACTGGTTTGTCTTCTGCTTTCCCTTCTTCATCCTGCCTTTGCTAAAAAAGAAGGTATTGTACGTTAAAAAGAATTTTTTTGTCCAGGGTAACAATCAAGAAAGGGTTAATAATGTGAGAAAAAGAAATGGAGGTGAGGAGGGAGGGGAAAGATGGCGGAGGAGTAGGGGACCCTATTTCAACTGGTCCCCGGAATTGAGCTGGATAACTACCAGACCGCTCTGAGCACCCATGAAACCAGCCTGAGATGTAAGAAGATCTGGATCTTTACAAACAGAATATCGCAGGCAGTTGGTTTTGAGGTACGAAGCAGAGAGCCATGATCCTGCGGGCAGATATCGGAGGATAAACAGCGGCGGGAGGGTGCCTGGACGTGGGGATCCTACACCGCCGGTGAGTGACAGCCTCGCGCGCTGCAGACGAGGCACAGACTCGCAGACCGGTAGCGTCGGGAAAGAACTTTAGGGCAGCCCCCGGGGTGGAAAACCAGACCGGCGGGGTCGCGCGCACGCCAACTGCAGCCCCCTCCCCGGACAGAAACCCGGAGTGACGGTCGCGCACACACGAACTGCAGCCTCCAAGACAGAAACCCGGTGCGCCGGGGTTGAGCCGGTGAACTGCAACCCCTGGGGGTGGAGAGAGAGAGGGCTAGAAGATGTATTTGAGCAAATCGTAGCTGAGAACTTCCCTAATCTGGGGAATGAAACAAACATTTGAGTCCTAGAGGCAGAGAGGACCCCTCCTAAGATCAAGGAAAACAGGCCAACACCCCGGCATGTAATAGTAAAACTTGCAAATCTTAGAACCAAGGAAACCATCTTAAGGGCAGTTAGGGGGAAGAGATTCCTTACGTACAGAGGGAGGAACATCAGAATAACATCAGACCTATCCAGAGACCTGGCAAGCCAGAAAGCCTGGCAAGACATATTCAGAGTACTAAATGAGAAGAACATGCAGCCAAGAATACTTTATCCGGCAAGGCTTTCATTTAGAATGGATGGAGAGATGCAGAGCTTCCACAACCGGCAGAAGTTGAAAGAATATGTGACCACTAAGCCGGCCCTGCAAGAAATATTAAGGGGGGTTCTATAAAAGGAGAAAGACCCCAAGAGTGATCTACAACAGAAATTTACAGGGACAATCTATAAAAACAACGTCTTCACAGGCAACATGATGATAATTAATTCATATCTTTCAATAATCACTCTCAACGTGAATGGCCTAAATGCTCCCATAAAACGGCACAGGGTTGCAGATTGGATAAAAAGACAGGACCCATCCATATGCTGTCTACAAGAGACTCATTTTGAACCTAAAGATACATCCAGACTGAAAGTGAAGGGATGGAGATCTATCTTCCATGCCAGCGGACCTCAAAAGAAAGCTGGGGTAGCAATTCTTATATCAGACAAATTAGATTTTAAACTAAAGTCTGTAATAAGAGACAGAGAAGGACACTATATCATTCTTAAAGGGTCTCTCCAACAAGAAGATCTAACAATTGTAAATATCTATGCCCCCAACATGGGAGCAGCCATATACATAAGCCAACTGTTAACCAAAATAAAGAGTCATATTGATAACAATACGTTAATTGTAGGAGACCTCAACACTCCACTCTCAGCAATGGACAGATCATCTAAGCAGAAAATCAACAAGGAAACAAGAGCTTTGAATGATACATTGGACCAGATGGACCTCATAGATATTTACAGAACATTCCATCCTAAAACAACAGAATACTCATTCTTCTCGAGCGCACATGGAACTTTCTCCAGAATAGACCATATACTGGGTCACAAATCAGGTCTCAACTGATACCAAAAGATTGAGATTATTCCCTGCATATTCTCAGACCACAATGCTCTAAAACTGGAACTCAATCACAAGAAAAAATTTGGCAGAAATTCAAACACTTGGAAGCGAAAGACCACTCTGCTCAAGAATGTTTGGGTCAGGGGCGCCTGGGTGGCCCAGTCGTTAAGCATCTGCCTTCGGCTCAGGTCAAGATCCCAGGGTCCTGGGATCGAGCCCCACATCGGGCTCCCTGCTCAGCGGGAGGCCTGCTTCTCCCTCTCCCACTCCCTCTGCTTGTGTTCCCTCTCTCGCTGTGTCTCTCTCTGTCAAATAAATAAAATCTTTAAAACAAAAACAAAAACAAAAAAAAAAACCACTTAAAAAAAAAGAATGTTTGGGTCAACCAAGAAATCAAAGAAGAACTTAAACAATTCATGGAAATCAATGAGAATGAAAACACATCGGTCCAAAACATATGGGATACTGCAAAGGTGGTCCTAAGGGGGAAATACATAGCCATCCAAGCCTCACTCAAAAAAATAGAAAAATCCCGAATTCACCAACTAACTCTACACCTTAAAGAACTAGAGAAAAAGCAACAAACGACGCCTAAGCCACGCATTAGAAGAGAAATAATTAAAATTAGAGCAGAAATCAATGAATTAGAAACCAGAAACACAGTAGATCAGATCAATGAAACTAGAAGTTGGTTCTTTGAAAGAATTAATAAGATTGATAAACACTGGCCAGACTTATCCAAAAGAAGAGAGAAAGGACCCAAATTAATAAAATTATGAATGAAAGGGGAGAGATCACGACTAACACCAAGGAAATAGAAACAATTATTGGAAATTATTATCAACAACTATATGCCAATAAACTGAGCAATCTGGATGAAATGGAGGCCTTCCTGGAAACCTATAAGCTGCCAAGACTGAAACAGGAAGAAATTGACAACCTGAATAGGCCAATAACCAGTAACGAGATTGAAGCAGTGATCAAAAACCTCCCAAAAAACAAGAGTCCAGGGCCTGTTGGATTCCCTGGGGAATTCTACCAAACATTCAAAGAAGAAATAATACCTATTATACTGAAGCTGTTTCAAAAAATAGAAACAGAAGGAAAACTTCCAAACTCATTCTATGAGGCCAGCATTACCTTAATCCCCAAACCAGGCAAAGACCCCATCAAAAAGGAGAATTTCAGACCGATATCCCCGATGAATATGGATTCCAAAATCCTCAACAACATCCTAGCTAGTAGGATCCAACAATACATTAAAAGGATCATCCACCACGACCAAGTGGGATTTATCCCCGGGATGCAAGGGTGGTTCAACATGCGCAAATCAATCAATGTGATAGAACACATTAGTAAGAGGAGGGAGAAGAACCATATGGTCCTCTCAATTGATGCAGAAAAAGCATTTGACAAAATACAACATCTTTTCCTGATTAAAACTCTCCAGAGTATAGGGATAGAGGGAATATTCCTCAAGTTCATAAAATCCATCTATGAAAAACCCACAGCAAATATCATCCTCAGTGGGAAAAGCTGAGAGCCTTTCCCTTAAGATCAGGAACACGTCAAGGGTGCCCACTCTCACCACTGTTGTTCAACATAGTACTAGAAGTCCTAGCAACAGCAATCAGACAACAAAAAGAAATAAAAGGTATTCAAATTGGCAAAGAAGAAGTCAGACTCTCTCTTTTCGCAGACGACATGATACTTTCTGTGGAAAACCCAAAAGACTTCACCCCCAAATTACTAGAACTCATCCAGCAATTCAGTAATGTGGCAGGATACAAAATCAATGCACAGAAATCAGTTGCTTTCTTATACACTAACAACGCAACTGTAGAAAGAGAAATTAAAGAAACGATTCCATTTACAATAGCACCAAAAACCATAAGATACCTCGGAATAAACCTAACCAAAGAGGTAAAGGATCTATACCCTAGGAACTACAAAACACTCATGAAAGAAATTGAAGAAGACACAAAAAGATGGAAAAATATTCCATGCTCATGGATCGGGAGAATAAACATTGTTAAAATGTCTATGCTACCCAGAGCAATCTGTAACTTCAATGCCATCCCAATCAAAATTCCAGTGACATTTTTCAAAGTGCTGGAACAAACAATCCTAAAATTTGTATGGAATCAGAAAAGACCCTGAATCGCCAAGGAGATGTTGAAAAAGAAAAAGCTGGGGGCATCACGTTGCCCAATTTCAAGCTATATTACAAATCAGTGATCACCAAGACAGCATGGTACTGGCACAAAAACAGACATACAGACCAATGGAACAGAATAGAGAATGCAGATATGGACCCTCAACTCTATGGTCAAATAATCTTTGACAAAGCAGGAAAAAACATGCAATGGAAAAAAGACAGTCTCTTCAATAAATGGTGCTGGGAAAATTGGACAGTCACATGCAGAAGAATGAAACTCGACCATTCTCTAACACCATTCACAAAGATAAACTCAAAGTGGATAAACCACCTCAATGTGAGATGGGAATCCATCAAAATCCTAGAGGAGAACATAGGCAGTAACCTCTTTGACGTCGGCCACAGCAACTTCTTTCAAGATACATCTCCAAAAGCTAGTGAAACAAAAACAAAAATGAACTTTTGGGACTTCATCAAGATAAAAAGCTTCTGCACACCAAAGGAAACAGTCAACAAAACAAAGAGGCAACCCACAGAATGGGAGAAGATATTTGCAAATGACACTACAGATAAAGGGCTGGTATCCAAAATCTATAAAGAACTTCTCAAACTCAACACCCAAAAAACAAATCATCAAGTCAAAAAGTGGACAGAAGAGATGAACAGACACTTCTCTGAAGAAGACATACAAATGGCTAACAGACACATGAAAAAATGTTCATCATCATTAGCCATCAGGGAAATCCAAATCAAAACCACACTGAGATACCACCTTACACCAGCTAGAATGGCCAAAATGGACAGGGCAAGAAACAACAAATGTTGGAGAGGTTGTAGAGAAAGGGGAACCCTCTTACACTGTTGGTGGGAATGCAAGTTGGTACAGCCACTTTGGAAAACTGTGGAGGTTCCTCAAAAATTTAAAAATAGAGCTACCCTATGACCCAGCAATTGTACTCCTGGGTATTTACCCCAAAGACACAGATGTAGTGAAAAGAAGGGCCATGTGCACCCCAATGTTCATAGCGGCATTGTCCACAATAGCCAAACTGTGGAAAGAGCCAAGATGCCCTTCAAGAGACGAATGGATAAAGAAGATGTGCTCCATGTATACAATGGAATATTACTCAGCCATCAGAAAAGATGAATACCCAACTTTTACATCAACATGGATGGGACTAGAGGAGATTATGCCAAGTGAAATAAGTCAAGCAGAGAAAGTCAATTATCATATGGTTTCACTTATTTGTGGAACATAAGGAATAACATGGAGGACATTAGAAGGAAGGGAAAAATGGGCGGGGGGAATTGGAGGGAGAGATGAACCATGAGAGACTATGGACCTGAGAAACAAACAGGGTTTTATAGGGGAGGAGGGAGGGCGGTTTGGGTAGCCCGGTGATGGGTATTAAGGAGGGCACGTACTGCATGGAGCACTGGGTGTTATAGGGAAACAATGGATCGTGGATCACTACATCAAAAACTAATGATGTATGGTGACTAACATAACATAATAAAATTAAAAACTACCAAAAAAAAAAAAAAAAAGGAAATGGAGGTGAGACCGTGGCACATGGACATCATGTAGAATGCTTTGTCCACCCTCGTGTTCTGGAATGAAGCCAGTCCTCCCCATAATGGCAGAGCCAGCCTCCCAGTCCTTCCATCCAGTAATTTGCCGCCCCCCACCACCACCAAAACTGCATTTAGTATCACTCTTTTTTTTTTAATATATCAATCTGAAGAATGGTGTTTTGGTTTTTTTTTTAAAGATTTTATTTATTTGACAGAGAAAGAGCCCAAGCAGGGGGAGCAGCAGTCAGAGGGAGAGGGAGAAGCAGTCTCCCTACTGAGCAGGGAACCTGATGTGGGACTCGAACCCAGGATGCTGGGATCATGACCTGAGCTGAAGGCAGACAGAGCCTAACCAACTGAGCCACCCAGGCGCCCTGTTATCACTCTTGAGTGTAGTTTTCTTCCATTTGGCTCAAAGATGGGAAGTTTGGAGGAAATCTGAAAGTTTGCTTTTTATTTCCCCCACTCACTAGAGTGTGTTAGCAGTGTGCTTGATTTAGATGTAAGTAACCAATAAGATTTACAATCTAAAATACAATTTAAAATCATTAATAGCAAGTCCATTCTAGTAGGGGTTTGTCTTATTATTTTTTTCATTCACAGCTGACTTCTCGTGGCACATTGTGGAGGAAAGTATTAACAGAGAACCCCCTCATAAATTTTGGTTATTCCTGTAGATTGTGACTTCTGTTCCTCTACCTTCAAATACATTTGATACCAGTTTCTTTAATAAGCCTGTTCCAGTCCTGAAAGCATTGTTACATTTTTCAGAAATTAATGCTCCAGATGAATGCTAAGAACAAAGGGGAAGAAGTTGAAGGTGAAGCAGTGGAGCTCGATGTGTCAGATGAAGAAATGGCCAGAAGGTAACAGTCACCTCAGAACCGCGTTATAATCACTGGCTCTCACATGGGTGCTCCTCTTCCCCACAGTCTTCCATGGAGTACCCCAGCGGGAAGATAACTTTCTGCCTTCTCTAAATGGGGCTGGGAGGCAGGGGGGCTCATACCTGTCAGAGGCTGGCAGTTGAGGGCTCTTGTCCAGTCCTGCTTCTAATACATATTTTAAGATACACATCTCAGTTTATTTAGGATAGTGCAAAAACAAAACTGAAAAATTTAATCATTCATGGAAAAGTTCTTACATTTTGAATCAGTTTTTTTTTTCTTTTTTTAAGATTTTATTTATTTATTTGAGAGAGAGAGCACATGAGAAGGGGGAGGGTCAGAGGAGAGGCAGACTCCCTGCCGAGCAGGGAGCCCGATGCGGGACTCGATCCTGGGACTCCAGGATCGTGACCTGAGCCGAAGGCAGTCGCCCAACCAACTGAGCCACCCAGGCGCCCTGAATCAGTTTATTTTAATCATCATTTTGATTTTTCTTATTCGTTGCCTATTTGGTTTAATATTCTTGACAAGACTTGACTCCTCCCTTGTTTTTTTGTTTGTTTAATTAAACTTGTGCTGCATACCATCTTAACAGATATGAGACCTTGGTGGGGACAATTGGAAAAAAGTTTGCCAAAAAAAGAGACCGTGCCAATTATGAAGAAGATGAAAATGGACACATAAAACCAACAGTTAAAGTAAAGAAGATGTTTCTAAAGCCCCAGGATTAAAGTAAATGCTTTGAGACAGAGCTCAGGAAAGCCTCGAGAGAGTTAGCATATTGTGGAACTCATTCTGATGGCTTCTCTGTAGTTATTAATACTATAATGTTTATTTGTAAAGAAATGGATAATTTTGGAAATATGCCATTTTTGAAACAGATGTGTGGTGGATGTTATACATCCTTTACTCAATGGTGTTCATCAGGAATGGATTTTTAGCCCTCGATCTTCAAATGTACAGAGGTATGTGGTTGCTTCCTAAAGATCGTTTTGACCTCAGATTTTTTTTTTTTAATGGAGCGTCCCGGTCCCTTGAATTGACACACATAAACCAATGTCTAAATTGCCCTTATGTTTGTATTTTACTTTAAATTATTAATCATGTCAAGCCAATTTATCCATACATTTTGGAATCGAATGTCATGAGGACTTAGCATATATAAATTCATTAAGAACAAACATGCCTCTCCAGCCTGAAGTACTTGCATGCTGCCAAGTCATTGTTAGTTTGTGGAATTACGGATTTTTGTTTAAAGCTTTTATTAATAAAAATTGTTCTGTAATAAGTTTTCGTATACTTTTTCTGTTCTCTTATACTTTTAAATAATAGTTTTAGTCTAATTCAGTATTGGAACTTTTATCCAAATGCTAACTTTAAAAGACCAGTCATTAATTGAGAATATGGTAATGTATTCAGTTGAACCATAAGAAATTGGCTTTTATGGGTCAAAAACAATCATCAGTTTCTTATTTTAATCATTATGAAAGTCGTTAACCCATAAAGGTACCCTCTTTAGTTCTGTTTGGACAAAGAAATCATTTGCACAGAGAAGTCACCACTTTCCCAACCAGCAACTCGCAACCAGCAGCTCGCTTGTATATCCTGAGGTTTCTTTCCATACTTTGCTGTTTTTCCTTGGAGTCCTGTGTTTTACTGGCCCCAGGAAAGAAAATGTACTGGGTTTTAGGATACTCACTATAAAGTAGGAGTGCTCAGATGAGCTGGTACAAAGTCACACTGCTTTCCCTAAGGCATATTTAATCTGAATGGTATCTCCTGCTAGTATCTCTTCCGTCAGCATTGTATGAATGGGAAAAAACTCTCCCTGCCCAGGAGTAGCAGGGGTAACCCTGTATTGTTGCAAAATTGCAGCAGGATCAAACAATTTAATTCAGGTAATAAAGAGGATAATCTGACAAATATTGGCAGACTGACTTATTGTGACTTCTCTCCCACTCACAGCAGGCTCTCACACCCACATCCCCCTGTCTGACCTCTGCTTTAATCATTGTCCCCAATGGTCAGTCACTTCATCACGTATAATATCTGTGTCGAATGGATTCTGTCTTCAAATCTGACACCTCTCTGCTCCTGCCTCTGATTCTCATTTAACCTCATGGGGATGCCCACAAGTCAGAAATGGAGAATAACATAGGAACAAGGCGGCAGTTCAACCCACAGACCTGGATTTCAGGGTATTCAGATTCTGGATTCAGTGGTATCAGATAACCTGAACTCCATCAAGAGCATGAAGCACAAACCCATACCTGACCATTGGAGATCCTTTCAGGCACTTAATCTAGAAGGGAGCTGACAATGGTTGGACCAAGATGTTACCCGGAAGAAAATAAAGCAAGGTGAAAGCAGATCTGGTGAATGTTCTCTGAGTGAATAACCACTGTGACAGCCCTGCGGAGGGGATTTGCCGTTAAATGTTAGCCATGTGCCAGCAACAGTTCTGACATTCATTTGTTTAACAAACACTGAGTTCGTACACTTGGCCAGGCACTGCATTGTGGGCAGGGCTTGTAAACTATCATCTCTGCTTTACCCATGAAGAAAATGGGCTACACAGACCTTCAGTAACTCACTCAGTGCCACACAGCTTTTAAGTGCTAGATTTAGGATTTGAATGCAGATCTGACAAAGCCCGTGCTCTCTCTCTGATGTCACCCTGAAGGGGAAAGCAAAAGAATAGAATTGGGAAACAGGCAGAAAATAGCCTGGCCCCAAAATAAGACCATACTTTTTTCTAAACAATCTTTCAGAATCCTACTGTACTACCTATACATAGTATTATTGTACTATGACATTTTAAATTATATCCTTTTTTATAATCTTGCTTTTTATAGATGATATGAGTTAAATTCACATTAACCATCAATTTTCAACACAAAAGATTGATTTTGTAAATAGGGTATTCTCAATATTAGTGATCCAATATTAAGAATGTAATGTGAATATATGATAGCAAGAAAAAATTGAAAAAGCAATTATTTAGTTAGTGCTCACTTGAAGTATAACCATATATAATCACATACTCATTTAGATCATTCTGTAAAATATTACCTAATTTGAAAGCAGGGACTATGCCTCACTCTTTGTCTGGTTCCAACCCCACATTCTTCATGCAGGGATTTATAAAAAATAGGTGTTTCATAGATAACAGTGAATCAAATGAAAATTTTCTCCTGTTTACCCAACCTCACATAAGCATTTTGAGTGACTCTTCTGAGAATCCACCTAACACATATTGGACTCCTCAAAGATTTTGCAATATAATTCTATCTGCGGGCATATATTCACAAACTCAAAATCTTCAAGCCTCAAGAGTAATGAAGTAGAATACACTATTTTACCCAGGAGATCTTAAATATAAAACCCTTAGTTTGTGATGAACCACTTGCTCCCTTCTTATTTACTCCAGGTACCAAATTGTACTCACTTCTGTCAAATGTAAGATGCAAAGCATCCAAGGCTGGTTCTTCCCAGAAATGAACTCCAGGACCCGCCACATCTGGTAAGATCTGGCTGGGGAAATTGTCAGGCAGCACCTTAAAAGGGACAAATGGCTACTTCTGGCTGCCTCTGGTAAATTACAAGACAGAGATAAGAGAAGGAACCATTTGGTTACGTAGCACAGTTTAGGGAAATGTTGAGAGCCAGGCTGGTCTTCCCTAGCAAGCAAAAGGTTCTGAAAATAAGGAACTGAAGAGATGAAAGCTGGAGTGTTGTCAGTAAAATTTGGTCTTGGGATAATTTTTTTTTTTAAAGATTTATTTATTTATTTGACAGACAGACACAACGAGAGAGGGAACAGAAGCAGCAGGAGTGGGAGAGGGAGAAGCGGGCTTCCCCCAGAGCATGACCCTGAAATCATGACCTGAGCCGAAGGCAGACGCTTAACGCCTGAGCCACCCAGGCGCCCCTCAGGATAAATTTTGAAGTAAGCCCTCAAAGTCAAGATGCAGCTGTAAAACCATTTTCTGATTTTGAGATGTCAGAAGGTATCAGGAGGGTGTGTCTCCTAGATCCTCTGTTATAAGAGGGATTCCAAGAACCTTAAGGGCGCGGTCACTACGTTTGGGGGTAGTTTGTCTTGTAGCAATGAATAACTGAAATACCAACTTCAAAACGTTCTCCACTCTTAGGTGCACAAATGCGGCATCTCAGCGTTTATTTCCATTTCTCTGGCTGCTAGTGAGTTTGAGAAGCTTTTTTGGAATACCTGTGATTCCCCACCCTGCCCCCCCCACCCCCGCCCTTGTAAATTAGATGACAAGATTTGAAAGGAAGAAAAAAAGTTTCTCTGAATTAGCCAGGAGAAATCCGTCAAATGGGATAAATTACAATGTAGGTATTGCTGGAGAGAAAATTCAAGGGAAGAAAATAATGCCAGAATGTTAGGTTGCTGGCTGGCCCATACCTACTCAGGACTGTGGTAACATAGCTGCCTTCAGGAGAATTGCTCAACAGATTATGGCCTGGATCCCCTTGATTCTGGAAAGTTGACATCTGGATTTTTAGAAATGACAGTCCAAATGGTCAAGTGAACAGTTCTGAAGTTGCTACTATTGTCTCTACCAAAAGGGGCGGGAGCACCTGAAAGCCTCCAGCAGGGATCGAGCAGGTCCCACTGGGTCAGGAGCCTCAGTGGAAAAAGAAAGGCTAGAACACTTATCCTCATGTTGAGGCAGAGACAGTTGGGTGATGGCAAAGGGCTTCAAAACACGCTCCAGCACTGATGAATTGACAGCAATTTTCAAATGAGAAATTAAGTATTTCCAAGCTTTATACCTGAGAGCAGAAGAGCAAAACTAAGAAATACCTGAAGTCTCCCTGAGCTTGCTTATAGATGAAGAGATCACTAAAAACAAGGTCACTAAATAGGTATCAATGATTTCCAAGGTGGGAAGAAGTAATAATTAGGAAGCTACGAAAAGCTTTCTTGTGAATATGAATTATGCACACCAGAAGCTTATTGGCTTTAATACTTAAAAGTGTTAGAATCAGGGGCGCCTGGCTGACTCAGCCAATAGAGCATGCAACTCTTGATCTCGGGGTTGTGCGTTCAAGCACTGTGTTGGGTGTGGTGATTACCTAAAAATAATAAATAAATAAATAAAAAATAATTAGTATCATCTTATTCCAAAAATTCCAATTCATATTAAATCAACTCTGAGTATAAAAATGCTAATATAAACTCACTCTTCATTTCCTTGATGAAGGATAAATACTTTCATTCTTAAGAAAGGAAGGGAGGAGGAAAAATGGAAAGCTCTTTCTTTACCGAGCTTCCTCGAGAAGGGACCCAGGAAGAGATTAGCTTCAAGCTGAAGATTCTAAAAGTAACTCCTTTAAAAGTTTGGGACCACCACATCTTCACCGTACAGGTCTTTTGTTTCGACACTCTGTCAACCGCTAAGACAGATCCTTTTTAGTCATCGCAGAGGTGATAGCAGGAACTCCACCCCCTTCCAGTTACCTGTAGTCAGTGGCAGTCCAGAAGCAGATGATCTTCCTTCTGATGTATGGTCAGAGGTCAGTAGGAGCCCAACGCTACGCCACAAGTGCCTCTCCTCACTCCATCGCATCGTGTAGACATGCCATCTCACGTCCTCACGAGGAGAGTAAGTACAGCTCAAGGCCAGCAGGCAAAGGGAAGAGTCACTCTACCAGCAGGAGTAATTCTCATGGACTATCCCACAAGATTCTAAGGTTGCTGCTGCAGAATGGGGACAGACAGGAAATTGTATGGTACCCCAGGAACTCACTGGGACTCCTCTTGGTGTCTCCATGCCCAGGGAAAACAATAAATGGAAATTGCATGCACTATTACCTCACAAGGGCATGGTAACCAAAGGTTTGCAATTTTCAGAGATGAAGCTCTGGGTTACCACTGGAAAAGCAACCTAGACCACCAGAAGCACTGACAAGTGAGAGGACTCTAGTATGAGTGGTGGAAGAGGGAAATAATGCAGCAAGGACTGTAATTTGTCTCACTCATCCTCCGAATTTTTATTTTTTACACTGTGACTGGCCACCACCTTGAAGAAGCACTGACTGGGCGGAGAGAACTAATGTGGGACACAAGCAGGTCTGGATGGTGTAAGGTGCACGCTCGAGCAGATACTCTTGGTGACTTGCCCGTTTCCCTTACATCCCCACTTCATGGTGCCCCAGCCAACTGGATGCCCCTCTCTGTAGAACTTCCCCAAAGTTGTGGGAAAATGTTCTCCCGGGTTCTGCCTGGGCACAGCACACTGGAAGTGCCAGAGACTGCTTCTTCTGGGAGCAGCCCCAACCGATCACTGATCAGAGTTGGTATCAAAACACCCCATCACCACTCAGGAGGGACCATCTGGAGGTATGTGTTTAACACCATTTTGGAGCATTTTCCCAGCAATTGAGCTCCAGTTACCCTCAGTGCTGACTTGTTTGACCAGGTGGCTAATTGGCTGTTTTCCTTTCTCCTCACTCCCCTACAAGGGTTTCCTGCACCTCCAAAATAAACTGCTTCACCTGAATCCTCATCCAAGGATCTGCTTCTGGGGACCTCAAATTAAGACAGTATCTCTAAACCAGGCATGTAAATAAGTGTTAAATGTAAGTATAGATACACAGACAGGCAGGCAGGCAGATGGATGATTGGTAGATAGCTGATAGATATGTCTATATGTTGTGATTGGTTGATACTTCTTTAAGTTTCTTTTATTTTTTATTTTGTAGATTTTATTTATTTATTTGAGAGAGAGTGAGAGAGAGTATGAGAGCAGGCTGAGGGGCAAAGGGAGAAGCAGAATCCCCACTGAGCAGGGAGCCCAATGCAGAACTTGATCCTAAGACCCTGGGATCATGACCTGAGCCAAAGGCAGATGCTTAAACCAACTGAATCATCCAGGCACCCCTCTTTAAGTTTCTTTTAATCTGTATGTTCCCTACTGCATCTCCCTCTTTTTCTTGCAATACATTTGTGGAATAATTGCTTGATAAACTTTAATTTAACAAAACTTGGTCAAATCTAATGCAAATTACATTTTTTTGCTTCCTATGAGTCATGCAATTTATAATCCAGGGAAAGGCCAGTGCTTTGGCGTGATTTCTTCCTTTTTTGCAGACTAATGCTGGAAACTTTTATTTATATTGTGGAAGGCATTCTCAGAATGTAAATGCTTGGAGGCTGTGGAAGCAGACATATGTATATGAAAGTAAAATCAAGGGCTCTGAGAAGCTGGATAAGTAAAGTGAAGGAGAAAGCCAGAAATAAATGCCAAATTAATTTTTAATTCTGGGAATTGATTATGTTTGAATTGAAAATGTTTCTGTGGCTTCCCATTACACTGAGAATAAGCACCAGCCCTGTGTAATTTGGACCTGTCTTTGGATCTCACCTCATGAGTTCCTCTCCTTGCACCACTAGTAGGGTTTATGCACATGCTGTTTGCTCTGCCTGGGTAGTGCTTGTTCCCAAGTCTAAACCGGCTACACTGCAAGTTTAAAACCATAGATCAAACCTAGAAACAAGAAGTGAAATATTCCAGTGGCCACCAGGGGAACTTAGCCTCAGTAATAAGCAGAAATCAAAACTGTGTGGCCCAAGTGCAAAATGGTACAGCCACCTTGGAAAAGTTTTGCACCTTCTTACAAAATTAAACTTACTCTGTATTGTAATAGCTTCGTATGGTGACAGATGGTAGCTACACTTGTGAGCACAGCATAACATATAGAGATGTTGAATCAGTATTTTGTACACCTGAGACTGATGTAACATTGTGTGTCAGTATACTCACTGAAAAAAAAAATTTTTTTTTTAATTTTTTGAGAGAGACAGAGATAGTGACAGAGATAGTGAGAGAGAGCACAAGCAGGGAGGAGTGGGAGAAGCAGGCTCCCAGCCGAGCAGGGAGCCCGATGCAGGGCTCAATCCCAGGAGCTTGGGCAGATGAGCCAAAGGCAGATGCTCAACCGACTGAGCCACCCAGGCGCCCCGAAAAAAATTTTTTGAAGATTAAACATACCCTTACCATATGATCCAGCAATCACACTCCTTGGTATTTACCCAAAGGAGCTGAAAACTTATGTCCACATAAAAACCTCCATGCAGATGTTTATGGCAGCTTTATTCATAATTACCAAAATTTGGAAGCAACCAACCAACCAAAATGTCCCTCAGTAGCTGAATGGATAAATAAACTGTGATATAACCAGACAATGGAATGCTATTCAACACTAACAAGAAATGAGCTATGAAGGCATGAAAATTTACAGTGAAGCTTCAATGCGTATTTCTAAGTGAAAGAAGCCAATCTGAAAAGATTACATACTGTATTCCTCTTATATTACATTATAGAAAAGACACAACTTTGGAGACAGTAAAAAGATCAATGGTTGAGGCAACTGGCTCAGTTGGTAGAACATGAGACTCTTGGTTTCAGGCTTGTGAGTTCAAGCCCCACATTGGGTGTAGAGATTACTTAAAAATAAATCTTAAAAATACAAAAATCAATGGTTTCCAGGGTTTGGGGAGAGAGGGGAAAAGGGATGAATTGATGGCCTTAGGGGATTTTTAGGGCAGTGACAGTGATAGATGCATGTCATGATACATTTTCCAAGCCCACAGAATATACAACAGCAAGAGTGAACCCTGAGGTAAACTGTGGACTTTAGGTGATTATGATGTGTCAAAGCAGGGGCACCTGGGTGGCTCAGTTGGTTGAGCGTTGGACTCTTGATTGCAGCTCAGGTCATGTCAAGCCCCATATCAGACTCCACACTCAGCACAGGGTCTGCTTGAGGATTCTCTCTCTCACTCCCTCCTCTGCTCCTCCCCCAACTAACGCACATGCTCGCTTGTTCTCTTAAATAAATAAATCAAATCTTAAAAAAAAAAAAATGATGTGTCAATGCAGGCTCATCACTTGTAACAGATGTTCCCCTCTGGTGGAGGATGTTGATAGAGGGGGACACTACGCAAGTGTGGAAAAAGGGGACATACATGAAATCTCTGTGCCTTCTCTCCAATTTTGCTGTGACCTAAAACTTTTCTTTAATAAAATCTTCTAAAAAATAAAAAGCAAAAACTGTAGTTCATATGAGGATCTGGACAAGATGAATCCTTTAGGAAGTAGACCTTGAACTCAGGCTTAGAAACAGAATCAGTCTTTTTTTTTTTTTTTTTTTTACAGAGAGACACAACGAGAGAGAGAACACAAGTGGGGGGAGTGGGGGAGGGAGAAGCAGGCTTCCCGAGGATCAGGGAGCCTGATGTGGGGCTCGATCCCAGGACCCTGGGATCATGACCTGAGCCGAAGGCAGACACTTAACGACTGAGCCACCCAGACACCCCCAAAACAGAATCAGTCTTGATGGTAGGTTATTTAGGTATAGAATTCTGGATTGAAAATTTTTTTCACATACCCAGAAATCAAGAGCTATTATTTTTCACAAACCCTCCCTGAAAGAAGTATTAAAGAATGAATTTAGAAAAATAAAGTTGTGTCATGCAAGAAGAATTAGGACAGGAATCAGCAAAAATTGGTTGGAAAATCTAAATATGCACTGATTATAAATTGTGTAATTATTTAGATGATTTAAATGTGTATTGATTGTAAATAGTCTATCTGGTTTGTAAAATAATACCAGAAAAAAAAAAAAACATGAAAAATGGGAAAGCAACATTTTCAGGGAAGTTAAATTATATTAAGATCCTCATCTTACTCAAGAAAAGACTAGAAATACAAATTTATGTGAATATTATTTTTAAAAATACAACATTAAGTATACATGATAAAATTTTGAGTAATCATCAAAGGATTGAAATAGAATATAGTCAAGTTAAAAAGAAGAGGTTAACGGGCACCTGGGTGGCTCAGTTGTTTTAGGCGACTGCCTTCGGCTCAGGTCATGATCCTGGAGTCCCGGGATCGAGTCCCGCATCGGGCTCCCTGCTCATCGGGGAGTCTGCTTCTCCCTCTGACTCTCCCCGCTCTCATGCTCTCTCTCTATCATTATCTCTCTCAATAAATAAATTTTTTAAAAAAAGGTTCCTGGCACATAGCAAGTCATAAATGATTGTTAGCTTAAAAAAAGAGAAGGAGTAGGGATTCTTATCAGGAAAAGTAGAAGGTATAAACCATTGTTTGTCCATGAAAGATTCCCTTGTGCTCTTGTGGGAAGAGCATTAGCTGATTGGCATTGAAAGTCCCCATTTGGATCAGAATGTTCCTAAAGTCCTGGCAGCAAAAACACAGAGTGATACTGGCCTTCCCATCACCTGACCTCTACCTAGAGAGGAAACACCAAGGTGATGTGTGTCCATGGTAAATGCACTCCCAGGGAAAGGGGAACTAAACAACTACTATTACTCCATTTGTGGGGCCTGTGTTAAATGCCAGGCACTGGCTAAATCTTTTGCTTAATTATCCTATTTAATCATCACAACAACTGCATGAGATTAACATTACCACTGCCCCTATGTTTGGAGTAAAAAGAAAAAAAAAAATAACCCTAAGACACAAAGAAGTTAAACAGTTTGCTTAAGGTCATCCAGCTATTGAACAGCAGACTCAAGATTTGAACCCAAGGGGCGCCTGGGTGGCTCAGTTGGTTAAGCTGCTGCCTTCATTCAGCTCAGGTCATGATCTCATGCCCCCCATCAGGATCCCTGCTCAGCCGGGAGTCCGCTTCTCCCTCTGCCCCTCCCCTGCTTGTGCTCTCTCTGTCTCTTTCTCTGTCAAATAAATAAATAAAATCTTTAAAAAAATTAAAAAAAAAAAAGATTTGAACCCAGGCCAGTGTGTTTTAGCCAGTTCAGGCCGCTATAATGAACACCACAGACGGAGTGACTTAAATGACAAACATTTATTTCTCATAGTTCTGGAGGCTGAGAAGGACAAGACTAAGGTGCTGAGAGATCCAGTGACTGGATCTGGCTTGCAGATGGTTATCTTCTCGTATCCTCGCATGGTGAGAGAGAAAAGCAAGCTCTCTCCTTCCCCTCCCTGTAAACGACACAAATCCCACCACAAGGGCTCCACCCTGATGACCTGCTTACCTCCCAAAGCTCTACCTAATACTATCACATTGAGGCTTAGGATTTCAACATCGGAATTTTGAGGGGACACATACAACCCATAACCCTGTGCAACTCCAAAATGCCCACAGCATACCACCTGGCCACTCAGACACCAAGAATGTGACATATTTGAAGCAATATTAACTGGTATTCCAAACATGAAGCAAAAACAAATCACTGTGCAGGGGGAGGAGAGAGCGGTCCTTTGACCTTAAATCAAAGACAGATCAGTAGAGCCATCAGCTCTTTGTATAAGCCTCCCTGGAAAAGGTCTCCCTCCAAAATCCTCTTCCTTTCATCTCTCCCAACCTGCCCCTTACATCACAGCCCAAAGCCTTCTGTCTGGGGGTTATAAAGAGGTTTCTCAGTAGAAACCAAAAAGAAGAGATGGGAATCCAGGACCTGGCTGGGTCCCCACCCTGCTGCAGTTGTGCAGGTGGGAGAGAGCCCTAGACAGAGCAGGAGAGGAGGAGAGGGCCACTGGCATGGTGTACAGGGAAAACACACATGCCATCCCTCTTTGTAAGGGGTGCATCTTTCTTGGTGCCGTTCACCCTGAGGACCCATGAAGATGTGGAGCTGTGTATTGGGAGTGGGTCTTCAAAAATGCTGTGGGAATGAGGAGGACGCAGAGGAGGATGTAAATTAGAATGCTTATGGTTACAAGCAACAAAATCTGAGTTCCGTCTTTTAACAAAATTTACTTAGTTAGTTAGTTATTTTGTTATTTCACATCATCAAGGGAAGGTTGAAGGATCAGGCTTGAAAAATTGATTAACAGGACCAAATGTCTCCAAAGGGCTAAGCAACAGGAAATGCAACTATCATTGTGGGAGACTGCCACCATCACTCTTCATATGCCTCAATTGACATTCCATGTCCCAAGAAGGTCATAACATTTGTTCATTATACCCAAATCCTAGAGGCTGAGATGTGGGCAGAGGCAGGATTTAGATCTTCTGGCTTCTGTAGTTGGAGGAAAAGCATTGCTTTCCACCAAGATCTCACACATGGGAAATGGCTTCCACATAGGAAGGCAAGTAGATGCTGGGCAGTGTCCTCCCTCCCCCACAAAAAAAATCCACCATTACAATGGCAATGACATGTATTGGCCTAGACCTCTTATGATTTTTCAAACCTGTTTTGTTATTTACCATGGGTATTCAAGATGTAAGTGTGAATTTTGTGTTTATCAATGAAATCTTTTTGTGCAAATATGTAAGACTTACCTAGAAATCATACCCAAACCAAAGGATAGTATGTTCTAAGTTAGGACCTACTCTCTATGGAATTCATCTTGAATAGTCAAGAGAGAGAACAAGGGACAATGCCAAAGAGAGAGGTTACATTATATCCATCAATGGATCATTACCTAGTATGAAAATAGGAGGAAGCACAGAAAGTAGAGCTAAATAGGAAAAATTTGTGGGGTGATTACCAGGTCACTGGAATACACTGACCATGAATGGAATATCCTAAAAGTAAAATAATTTAGCCTTGAGTTTGCTTATTAATCTTCCCTTTTCCCATGGTAAGCTGGGATTCTCACTTTAGTCATCTCTACATTTTGCAATATGGTAATTAAGTTTTATGATGAACCAGGACAGAATGTCTTATCACCCTAGACACAATGTACCTTACACTGTTTTCTAGCCAAATATCATTCCAGTAGTTTAGGACTGCCAGTGATCAGCTGAAATATTTGGTTTGCACCATGAGGCTCAGCAAGGATTTTGTTTCACCTTATTCCAGAGGGACCATGTACACAGACTGTGTGGATAAAACCCCAAAAGAAATTTTAATAGAAAAATTGCTTTTCTATGAGAGAGGGCCACTGAATGGTAATACTCACTCTTAACTCCTGTCTTATTTTCTTTAGTCTCATCAATTTCTTTCTCCCCTAGAACAGTGTAGCATTATTTTCCTTGTTCTTCACTGAACTCTTCCCTAGAACGTGTATTTGTCAGGAAATAATTCTGTTGCTAAAGACAGAAAGCCAGCCTGAAATAGTTTAAAGGAAATGTATTGGCTCACCCAACTTGGAAATCAACCTAAATGGTGGATCTGTAGGTGTAGCTAGATGAAGGTGCTCAAAATGTGTTATCAGACCTTGGTTTTTCTTCATCCTTTTGCTCCATTTTCCTCTATCCTGGCTTCATTGTTGGTGGGCTCTTGGTGGGCTCTAGAAGCTTCAGTTAACATGGATACCCTTTTTCTCCCATTGCCTTAGCAATTCTTCCACCCCTGGGAGCCAAGATTGGCTCTTCTTGGATCAGAAGCCCACCCCTGAACCAATCTCTGAAGCCAATGGTATGAGTTGATTGGCCAGCCTAGGTCACATGACCCCTCCCTATGGTGGGGAGGTGGGGTCTCTTGAATGACAAAATCCCCCAAAATGGAATACTGAGCAGGCAGAAGAGTATGCAAATTTAGACTACAGACATTGAGATCTCCCTATTTTCAGCCTTCAAATTAGTTTCCAATCTCTCTTCCTTTTGATTCTTATTTCTTGATGTGGAATTCTGAGCTGGGAATTGAACAGAGACTCAGAAACACCCATCCAGTCCTGCCACGGTCATCCCCACGCCTGAGATCCTGGAAGGAAATATTGGGTTACAAGACAAATGGGTAGAGAAACACTTTATTTTGAGCCACTCCAGAGCAGGTGTTCTAAGCCCCCACTGAGTGGACAACTGTGTGTGACCTGGACTGGGGACTTTCACTGGGCAGGAGGTACCACCACTCCACAGAGCTGTTTGCATGGAATTATTCTTCCTCAGAATTACACCTTCCAGAATAGCATTCCAAAACTTGTTCTTTACCACCAGTATAATGAAACTGATGAAATTTAATGTTCCATTCAAATAATACAGTGAGGTTTATTTGTAGGCATTTATCAGCTCCTTATGTAATAAAGTAATCATATTTTCACTGGATGTTTTCCTAATTCCTCCCTCTTATCTCAGGTGTGTTGTAAGGATTGCCCACTTTCCTGCTTCCAGCATTGGGAAAATATAGAAAAGGAAGAGATAAAGAGGAGTGGACGAGGTTTTGTATGCAATCTGTGTGTGATGCTGTGTGACCAGGTATTACATGTGCCTTGTATCCTGACCTTGAGCAGAAGAGCAGGACTGGGAGGATGAAATATTTTTTGCCAAGAGTCCTATTGTTGAATCACCTGTTTGTTCATCATGCTGGTCAAACTGTGGGCATATTGGGGGCTTCCCTCTGCCATTAACTCTTACTGGTTTCTTATGGTAAACCAGGAACACCAATACTGGGCAGACATGGTCAGGGCATGGAGGTGTTTTGTATGTAATACTTGTCACTCTTGTTTTCTGAGAAACTATATGTATTGTGCTAAAAATGAAATATGTTTGGGGGCACCTGGCTGGCTCAGTGGGTAGAGCATATGACTCTTGATCTTTTTTTTTTTTTTTTAAAGATTTTATTTATTTGACAGAGAGAGAGATAGCGAGAGCAGGAACACAAGCAGGGGGAGTGGGAGAGGGAGAAGCAGGCTTCCCGCCGAGCAGGGAGCCCGATGCGGGGCTCGATCCCAGGACCCTGGGATCATGACCTGAGCCGAAGGCAGACGCTTAACGACTGAGCCACCCAGGCGCCCATGACTCTTGATCTTGGGGTTGTGAGTTCAAGCCCCATGTTGGGCATGGAGCCTACCTTTAAAAAAAAAAAAAGAAAAGAAATATGTTTAAATGCTTTTCGATACTTTCAGATTACAATTTCTGCTGCTTTAAAACAGGGTCTTCCCAATGAACGTGCAGTGGCATGCAAGATTCTCCCCCCTTCTCCTTCTCTTGCCCTCAGATTCTGGGTTCCTAAAGGCTGGTGTATTTGCACAGCACCGAGGATGTGACGTTGTCTCTTACTCACTGGCCTCCCTTGGATTTCTCATCCTCACTTCAGCCCCCAGCCCAAGGCTGTTTACCAAGTGGGCTCTGCTGCAACACACCCCCACCTGCCCCAAGGGCATCCAGATACTTCATTCTTAGCTCTATTCACTATGGTCTGCAGGAGCTTCAGTGACTTTTCCAGACATCCCCACTTCCACCCAGACCCAAGGGAGTCAAGATGGGAGTGGTGGGAAGAGGTTTTCAGTCTTTCTCTGGCTAAATAGACAACCTTGTGGTATAATTCCCTCCCAGGTAACCCCAAGGCAGGGTGGAAGCCCTCCTCCAGTTAGGAACTTCTCAGATCTGGGATTCTCAGCCCCTCTGGGTCTGTATCCAGCACCTTCTCCCCATGCCTCATGGAGTTTTCATCAGAACAGAAAGTAGGTCCCACACTGGTTTCCTAAAGGCTGGTGTATTTGCCCAGCACTACTCAGCCTGGTGTCTCCACCTCCCTCCCACTAAACCCAAAGAGCTTTCCCCCTCCTTTTGTGGCCAACGTGCTTACTCTGTGGCCTAGAGCAGGGGTTCTCAGACATGGGTGTGCATCACCTGGAGGGTTCGGTACAACACAGGTTGCTGGACCCACCCCCAGAATTTCTGATTCAATGGATGTTGTCAGTAGAATAAAGGTCCCTAGTAATGATCATAGTACATGAATCCCCAGGAACATGTGAATATGTGACCTCATGTGGCAAAAGGAACTTTGCAGATGCGATTAAATTAAAGATCTTAAGATAAGGAGATTATTCTGGATTATGTGTGGGCCCAGTGCCATCACAAGGCTCCTTATAAAAAGGAAGCAGAGTCGGAGGAGAGGAGACCACAGGAGCAGAAGTTGGAGTGATGCAGCCACGAGCAAAGGAATACAGGAGACCTGGAAGCTGGAAGAGGCAGCAAATGAATTCACCCCTAGAGCCTCCGGAAGGAATGAAGTTTTGCTGACAACTTGATTTTGGCTCCCTGTAGGAGCCATTTCAGAATTCTGACTTCCTGAACTGTAAAATAGTAAGTGTATATTTTTAAACTGCTAAGTTTTTCATAATTTGTTTACAGGAGCCATCATAAGAACCTAAAATATGATTGCGTTGGCCCCTGAGAATCTGCATTTCTAATCGATGCTCAGGTGTTGGTGATGCTGCGGTCCAGGGATCACTTTGAGGACCACTGCTTTATAGTGAAACACATAATCCTCAGTCCTCCTCCAAATTCTGGTTACACAAACCCTTTGCTCTCTCAAGATCTGAAGCATGCAAATGAAAGCTTTGGCCTTGACAACTCTCATCTCCAAAAAGTACCTATTCTGGAAATCAATGGTTAAAGCTTGATTTTTTTTTTTTTTCTTTTCTTTCTGTTCTGTCGTAAAGCAATGATGGAGAACTACGGATCAGTTGGCATGACTAGCCATTAAAACTCTATCATATTAATAATATCATAACTATCTATCTCACCACCTTATTATTTATTCTTTTCTTTTGGGGGAAAATGCGGAACATCATCAGTTTATCTATTCTCCTAAAATCTCCATGAGGTTGGAAAATAGAAAAATAACCTGCACATTCTAGAAAGGAAATGGGACAAAGAGATGTTTGCAATGTCTGGACCTCTGCTTCCCTCATGTCAAGCTGCTGTTTTTTTCTAGTTCCTTTTATATGCCCCCTGTTCACCAGCTCCTCCCTTTTTGCCTCCCCCAGGTGAACTTGACCCCGCCTCTCTTGGTATCTGACCTTGCTCCCTTTGGCTGGCTTCTCCAGGTAAAGATGTTGGCTTTTCCATCCTGGGATGCTCAGATGGAGGTGACAGTGATGGTTACTATGGACACCAAACCAGCCACTCACATGCCCTGGGTTTGCCAAAAGGGCTCTGGGGCCCTTCTTGAGATGGGAGACCTCATCCTCTTATCTCCAGGCCTCCAGGGAGAGGAAGGGAGAGGAGGTGCGTGGAGCACTGATTACACACTGGAATCAATACCTTGTATACAGTAGGTACAGCAGGCTATCAATTCATGGTGAGAAAAACTCCACTTGACTCTGGTCCTTGCCAGTTCCTCCTCTCTTTTCCCTTCCCTACCTCATTTTTCCCATCGTCTCTTTCTCTTCCTCCTCTCCTGACAGGCAGTGGAGTCCAACTCCACTGGAGTCAATTCTAACTGCCTTTTGCTAGCTGTGTGACAATGAACCAGCAACCTACCCTCTCTGATCCTTAATTCCCTTACCTGTTAAGTAGGGGTGGAGATACCTACCTTGGTTCTCTGATGAGAACTAGATGAGAGAATATCTGAAATGTATCCGTGCAGAGCAGGCACTCGATTAACATCATTTCTACCCACTAGCCTTTTCACCACTAAGACCTAGTCAATCAGCAGAATTCACAGGGAATGCAAGGTAGGAAACCACAACTTTAATGGGAAGTTCAAGTTTCCCTTTCGTTCCAAGACATTTCCCACGTATTTGCCCATGTGGCTTATTCTTCAGTTAGGCCTGTTTAATTAGCGCCCTGGGCAAGCCCCCTCCAAAGTTATGCAATTTTTTGCTAAAATAATCAAATATGCCAGTAGGACTAAAGGAAACAAAGCAGATCAACGAATAAGCCATTGCGCCCGGTGCATAAAAGGCAAAGGGGCTCTTAGCAGACACAGCATGTCGGATGTCCAGGAGCACAGGGGACATATCTGTGCTGGCCTTCATGTTGATCAACTTAAGATAATTCCGCTGCTCGAGGATATAGTCCTGGCCGTAGTCTTCCTGAACGTCAGAGGTAAGGTGGTCCAAGAGGTCCTTCTCCTGCTTGCTCCACACTTCACTGGTGCCTGCAATATCTGTGATGCAAGAAGAAGGGGGGCTCAGATACTGGGGAGGCCAGATCGGGCATGTCCAACCCCTACCAGGGAAGCAGGCCCTTGTGAATTGGCTTCTGTTGGGAAGGAGGGGCGTTCCCAAACACCTTTTTATTTAAATGTGCTTTAAGTGGTATTTAATATATTTTTTTGACATACATACAGAAAAGTTCACATAGGACTGGGTTTCCACAAACTAAATAGCCCACTCAACCAGCAGCAGAACAAGAAGGCAAACCAGCCTGGAAGCCCCCACTCCCAGCCCCCTTCCCAGGAGCCACTGTCCCAAGTTAACAGAATAGAGCAGTTTTGCCTGGATTTGGACATTATGTAAATGGAATCACGTATTACGCTGTGAGATTCATCCATGTACTGTGTGGTCATTCCTGTCAGTGCAGTTTTCCATTGTATAAATATGTCATACATTATTTGTCCATTATACTGTGATGGGTATTTGGGTTGTTTCCAATTCGGGATTCTTACAAATAGTGCTGCCACAAACATTCTATTACATCCATTTCATGATAATTATATACAATATAAAATGTAACATATACAATATAATATACATGCATATATATGCATACCCATATATAAATCTATATATAATTTCTTTTAAAGATTTTATTTATTTATTTGAGAGAATGAGAGGGGGGAGGGTCAGAGGGAGAAGCAGACCCCCTGCTGAGCAAGGAGCCCGATATGGGACTCGATCCCGGGACTCCAAGATCATGACCTGAGCTGAAGGCAGTCGCTTAACCAACTGAGCCAGGCGCCCCACATCTATATATAATTTTTAATATAGAAGTGATACCTATTTCTAGGTATAAAATTAAATATACAATGTTGACTATCATCTTATCTATCTAATAAATATAATTTTAAACAATACATAATAAATATACATTTAAATATACATTTAAATTTTAACATATAAATTATGTGATTAAATATATAAACATTTAATATAGAAGCAATGGTTGCTTATCATATATAACTTAATTATATATATTTACTTTAAAATATAGTAGCAATGCCTGCTCATTACATAAAATAAAGTAAATAATAAGATGTATATGTTTTTAAAATTAATCTCCCCTAAGGTAACTTACAGTTTTGTATGTCATTCTATATTCCCTCCTTGTTCATACAAACATATATACGCATAGAAGGCTTTGGTTTAACTTTATATTATCAGGAACAAACAAAAGCCAAAAAGGGGGCACCTGGGTGGCTCAGTTGGTTAAGCGACTGCCTTCGGCTCAGGTCATGATCCTGGAGTCCCTGGATCGAGTCCCGCATCGGGCTCCCTGCTCTGCAGGGAGTCTGCTTCTCCCTCTGACCCTCCCCCCTCTCATGTGCTCTCTGTCTCTCTCATTCTCTCTGTCTCAGATAAATAAATAAAATCTCTAAAAAAAAAAAAAAAAAACCAAAAGGATCACACTATACAGTGTTTTCCAAAGATATGATTGCTTGCTTAGTAATAAATCACAGACCTGCCTCTGATAGTCAAGCTACAGATTTAAAACAGAGCAGCGGAAATTTCCCATTGAACAGCTTTTAGGCAACCACTTCTCTATCAAAAGACTTTGCAGTCATTCCTAGGTTTCGACATTTCAGTGATGCTGCATAAATAGCCTTGCACAATGCATCCTTTTGTATTTTACTGTCGTTACGTCTGCAGGCAGCTCCCACAGTGTGGTTAGCTGGTCAAAAGGCACTGGCATTTTGAATTTTAATACCTTCTGCCAGATTACTTTCCAGAAAGGATGCAGCACCCCATGCTCCCTCCTGCAAAGTGTGTGATCGCTCCAGGGATGGCTGTGAGATGAGCCTGGGTTTACTAGCTTGGGTGACTCCAGGATATCAGGTCTGTGGGGAAGCCTGGTTGTGAAACGTAAGCCAGTGACATCCAATTATACCCACAGAAATGCAAACGGATTTGCTCAGTTCTTTTCATGAAGGCACAAGACCACATGTAAAGAAATGATTACCCTGACAATTACTCTAGAGGTTTCTGGGTCTGGAACAGCATGTTGTGTGACCTATGTTCCTCCAGCTAACTCTCCCCCAGTCTCTGCTTTCTCAGGCTGAGGGATTCCTTTTCTTCTCCACTTCCTCCCTCTCTAAACACCTCATGGACTTTCTAACCACTTCTGTGGGTACTCTGTGCAGAGACCCCAAAGCTCTCTTTAGTGGTAACAAAGCCACCAGATTTCTGTCAACTTTCATCTGCCACTTTTGACACCCACAAACCCATCCCCTGCCACTTTGGGGCCATACACAATGAATCTTTTAGGGTGACCTGGACCTAAAGCCCATCTCGGACTCATACCACCTCTGTGGCTCTTAACCTCTCTGAGCCTCAGTTTTCTTCCTACCCCCCGCCCCCCACCGCACTCCTGGGTGGGATGTGTGACACTCCTCGGAAGCTCCCAACTGTCTTAATGTTAATGCCTTATTAAAGGGAAAAACAACCTGAACTTGACAATGGCGAGGCCTCCAGTATCTTGGAGGTCCTCTTTCGTATATGAAAATCCTTTTGAAACCTCCCTTTTCCTTACCTCCCCCAACTCCCAAGTATATAATCAACCACCCCTCACAATCCTGGTACAGCAGCTCTCTCTGCCCACGGGTCCTGTCCCGTGCTTTAATAAAAACATGTTTTTGCCCCAAAGATGTCTCAAGAATTCTTTCATGGCCATTGGCTCCAGACCCCACTCCACCAAACTTCACCTACATTCCAAAACCACATCCAAAGGACCTTCAGCATCCCTGGGGCTCTTAGGCTTAGATACCTACTCGTCCTGAAGCCTCCAGGCTGGATGACAGAGACTTTAATTCCCCATTTGGAAAGCTCCTGTCTCATGACTGCTGAGAACATGGTCAGAGCCGCCTTGGATGAGCTATAGGCTGCCAGCTTTTCCATTGGGACCTCTCCTGTGGGAATGAGAGAAAAAAAATATCAGGTCTGATGTTTTCATTTGTTCATCCACTAAGTGTTTAAACAGGAACTACTGCATGCCAGGAACTGGTATCAGTGGTGACTAAGGCAGAAAAGGGGCAGGTAAGGGTCTTCTGTACCCAGGTTAGTGCCTGTTCTTGGTCACAACCATGACCCGGCTTCCCTTGCTTCTGCCGTCCATGACGGCTCCATCACAGCTGGTCCAATGACAAACCAAGTGTAAAGGTCAATCTGTCCTGGTTTCTAAGCTAAATGTAATTCAGGTGAGTTAAAGAGGATCTGCCCCAGCCTCTGACCTTCTCAGTTCAACCAACCACTATTCTGAGGTTCTGGGTGGACATATCTGGAGCACCTGTAGTTGAACAAATTGGATCTAATACTTGTCAAAACAAGGAGTAATGCACACCATAGGGAACTGTGGGGCACCTTTGTATGAGGGAGTGAGAAAGGGCTTATTCTAGGAGGGCCACCTAGGGCGGGGGGGAATGCTCTTTATTGCACCTGGACCACACTTTGCTTAGAAGCTGGGAGAAACTGATCCTTCATCCGGGTCTATTGTTGGACCACATGTGCAGGAGCAAGGGGAGCCAGAGAAGTCAAGTGACCTTAATGGAATAAGAGTCTCTACAGATGTAATTAAAGTACGGATCTCAAGATGAGACCATCCCAGATCAGGATGGGCCCTAAATTCAATAATGGGTTTTCTTGTAAGAGACCGAAAACAAAACACACAGAGAACCAGGGGAACAGACCACGTGAGGGTGGAAGCAGAGATGGGAGGGATGCTGCCACAAGCCAAGGACTGCCTGGAGGCACCCAAAGCTGGATGAATCAAAAAGACATTCTTCCCTAGAGTCTTTAGAGGGAGTTGACCCTGGCGACACCTTAATTTTAGACTTCTGGTCTCCAGAACTGTGATAGAACAAATTCTTGTTGTTTTAAGCCACTGTAATTTGTTACAGCGGCCCTAGGAAATGAATACGGATGTGTTCCTGGTGTTCTTTTCTGGAAGACACCGAGATTGGGGAGGGCTGAAGACAGTGAAGCCTCACAGCACTCAGGGGACTTCATGGGGAACCCAGGGTGAGTGGACCATGACATGAGGGCTCCCAGCTTTGGCCAAGATTTCTCTAGTCAAAGAAGCAAGCACTGGGTGAGTGGCTAAACAAACTCAGACACAGCCATGCAATGGAATACAACTCAGCCATTTTAAAAAGTTCATTGAAAGGAACGAACTTGAGGGGCGCCTGGCTGGTTCAGTCGGTGGAGCATGCAGCTCTGGATCTTGTGAGTTTGCACCCTGTGTTGAGTGTAGAGATTACTTAACAATTTTTTAAAACAAAAAGGAATAAACTTGATACACACAACCGCATAGATGAGTCTCAAAATAATTACGGTGAATGAAAGAGCCAGACAAAAAATAGTATGACCTGTATGATTCCATATATTTAAAATTCTAGAAAATGCAAACCGATCTATAGTGATATAAACAGATCAGTGGTTACCTGCAATGGGGTGGGGGAAGGATTAGAAAGGGGGACAAGGAAGCTTTTGGGGATGATGGACAAGTTCACTATCTTAATTGTGGTGATGGTTTCCTGGGTACATACATATGTCTAAACTTACCAAATTGTGCACTTTAAAGATTTTATTTTA